TCCAAATCCATACAAAAGTAAAATCCCGCACACCGTGCTTGCATATCTGAAAAATACGATTGTATTGCTGCTGCATCTCCCTCCCCAAGACTTAATCGCCTAACTTGTTCAATGTAGTTTCGACAATCCTTTTCTATGCATGTCATATTTTCATATCCACCCGCTTCAACAACTGCAGAATTGAAACTTTTGTGCAATGGAATTCCAGCCATATCATTCACTTCAAGCTTCCGTTTCACATGTGCACTCAGTTCTCGATTGCATTGATACAATCTCGACTTCGTTGGACTTGTTTTATGATTGTGGTCGAGTAGTACCATGTTAATTCTCCAGTAACCATGATTATCTAAAGAAGCGGAGATCCTGGCTTTACAACCCATCTGAATTGTTGGTTGCGGATTCAATGAGCCGCTTGTGCTACCGCTTCTTCGTCCTTCACGGCTACATGTGAAAGTCACATAGCGCACAACACCATCGTCGTCTTTTCTCGAGTTCCTTTTCCTCACCGGAAAACCTACCTTATAAGTATATGATTTGTAAAAATCAAACACTTCATCTACATCCTTGAACTTCAGACCAACCTCCGGCACAATTGCTCCATCTCGTCCCACCGTTTCATTTTCAACTACATTCAGATTGTGTTCCACATTGATATTTTCTGATTCCACCAAATAATTATTTTCCGCGTATTCCATCATTGATTCTCCTACAGAAAAATTAGCAGACACTTTTAGCCTAACAATTTCATATTTACAGCAATGGAAAAAATAAAACCAGGAAGGCGGGATACCTGGGGAATGCTAGGTAATAAGCTTCTTGGGAAGGTTGAGTAAGACGGAGTCCCGGACCTCAAAAATGTGTGAATCAAACTCGAAAATCAGGTGATGTCGACCGGATTGGCTGAAAAATAAGGGTCGCCTTATATATTTGAGTTTTTCCAGGGACGGAGTTCTACTGTTAAAATGCGTCCCCGGTGATTTCGAGGGTTATGGGCACAACACCGATGATTTCTACGATTATGGGCAGAAAAATTAGGGCGCCTCCATTGAGAAAGGTTGGGATTTTGTCATTTCACGGGTGTGTAAGGGAGCTTTGACCCATTTCTCTGATTTCCCGCCTTCTAGCATTTCCATTTTCTTTTTGCATCTCAGCCGTCCAGCCCAATGCATATCGACCGTCCACGTAATGTTGTCACCTATTGTTGTAAGCCAAAGGTGTACAAGCAGGCTTTCCCATTAACTTATAGTTAAATTGAAAACCGTTAATAAATTTTAAAATCTTACTATTTTGTAAGAGAGTTGTTTCTTTTAGGATGGTTTTTAGTTCACAAACATTTACATATTATTTTTTGCAGTTCAAAGTCTAATTCTTGCTATGCTCGTGTCGATGTTAAAAGTTTGTAATTACTTCATATTTTAGTGTTGTTAACATGAATAAGATCAATTGCAATGCTAGCATTGCCATTCTATTATCATATATGTGATTATCGTCTCTTGTTACGCTAATGGTTGAGTGATAAAATATTGGTGGTTTAACCATTTCGATGTCTACTTGATTGCATCTTCAACTAATTGGACTTGAGATGACTCAAAATGGATCCTATAGACTCTTAATCCATTGTATAAATTTGGAAAAATTGTAGTTGTGGTCTCAAACCTTTCATTTTGTTGCAGATTATATCCAAACCTTTTATTTTTGCGGTCGAAGTCCCAAATCTTTATATATAGTTGCAGCGTCGGTCCCAAACCTTTAATTCCGTCTATAAAACCATCAGTCAACGTTTCAACAGTAATTTTGACTCGAAAAAATTGCAGCGCTGATCCCAAACCTTTAATTTTTGCGGTCGAAGTCCTAAACCTTTATATATAATTACAGCGTTGGTCCATTTCACCCATTTCGTCCATAAAATCATCAGTTAAAGTTCAAACAGTAATTTTAACTCAAATGATATCTTAATTGATAGGTAAAATTATCAAAACAAGTTATCCAAAAAAAAATGTTAGTTTTTTTCAAATCCTTCAATCTTTTCACATATATCACACTCTCATCATCGATAACTATCTGATCAGATAATAATTCGATCCGATTTGTTATAATAATCGATAAATTTTTTTTATGGCATGTTATTTGTCACTAAAATAAATACATGAGAAAATAAAAAAGTTTAGTACTAAATAAAATTTTTTAATCAACCTAAAAATTATTTAATAATACATACAAATTATAGTACCAAATGTAGTTTGTTTATTTTTATCTTCTCATTTATTTATTTTAGTGACAAATAACATGCCACAAAAATAATCTTTCGATTCAATTATTATAACAAATCAGATCAAATTGTTATCTGATCAGATGGTTATCGATGATGAGAATGTGATGGCTGTGAAAAGATTGAAGGATTTGAAGAAATAGAAATTTTTTTGGATAACTTGTTTTGATAATTTTACCCATCAGTTAAGATGTCATTTGAGTTAAAATTACTGTTTCAACATTGAGTGATGATTTTATGGACGAAATGCTTGAAATGGACCAATGCTGTAATTATATATAAAGGTTTGGGATTTTGACCGCAAAAATTAAAAGTTTGGGTATAATTTGCAATAAAATGAAAGGTTTGTGACCAGCGCTACAATTGTTTCGAGTCAAAATTACTGTTGAAACGTTGATTGACGGTTTTATGGACGGAATTAAAGGTTTGGGACTGACGCTGCAACTACATATAAAAGTTTGGGACTTCGACCGCAAAAATAAAAGGTTTGGGTGTAATCTGCAATAAAATGAAAGGTTTGGGACATGGCTGCAATTTTCCCTATAAATTTTAATAGTTCAAGTAACTTTACATTAAAATTTGGAATAATTGTAGCAGCGGTACCAAATATTTCATTTAGTAACAGATTTTGCACAAACCTTTCATTTGTACCAACCACAGTACCAAATCTTTTAAAAATTAGCATACGGGGTCCAAATGGATGATTTTCGTTGTTTGATCAGATAATACTTGACAATAATTTTGATTAATTTTAAAAAGTTAAAATGGTAAATTTACTCTTTTTTTTATAATAAAATAACTAAACTGAAATAATTAAAATTAAAAATCAAAAATCAACTAATTCTTCTCCATTAACCCCACACATATCCACCCCACCCCAAAATCATCACCACCACTACCGGATGGCTCCACTGTATGTCTGCACCCACCCAACGTCGGCGTCGTTGCCATCCCTTCCACCTCCTCCATTTCCATCTTCATTCCCATCACCCAACAAATATTTCTTCTCCAAATCTTCAATCCCCAAAAATTTTCTTTCCAAATCTTCCACAGGTGGAGTCCCATTCGCAAGGCACTATTAGTCACTACCCAAGCATTAGAAGTCTGCTGTTGTGATGCCTGCAATTTGATTTCACTTTGCTCAGTTGTATCAGCTTCAGAATCTTGAGCTGTTTTGATTAAAAAAAAATTGTCATAATTAGCATTGGCTGCACTGTGTGAAGCTACTTTGCTAAGTGGTTGGACATGTAAATGTCCTGCAGCAACTATATAAACAAAAATAAAAAGAAGAACTACTCCTATATAGAGGTGTTAAGACGGATGGACCGGCCAAACCAGTGAAAACCGGCCCGGATCGACCCGGGACCGCAGGCCGACCCATGAACCGAGCGGGCGGTTCACAGGTCAAGGAGGTGTGACCTGCGGGCTTCGCGGGTTACATCTTCACGGGCCGTGGTTAACCCGCTGGCCCATAATTTTTTTTTTTTTAATTTGAAAAAAATGGAGGAAAGTTAAAACTAAATTATAGTTAAGACTTAAGACTTAAGTAGGTGCCAACCTAGTTGGGATGTACTTAAACTATAAATTATACTAAAAGTAGGTGCCAACCTAGTTGAGATGTACCTATACTATAAATATTTGATAATAGTAATTAGAAATATTGTTATTTGTTTAAATTAAATTTAATTTTGCAAAGTTATAAATAATTCATGTAACATTAAATTTGAATTCTATGTAAACATTTCTTGGTATAAATATGAATTTATCATTTTGTTCAATTCTTAGTTTACATTTAACAAAAAAAATATTTTTTTACTATAAATATGTTTCAATTTTTAGTTTACATTTAGCAAAAAAAAATATTTTTGCTATAAATATAAAAAATTCTATATTTTTATAATTTTATTTATACAATAATATGGGGCCAAATCGGAACAAATCGAGACCTGCGTGACTCGTGACCCGCATGGGCTCAACTCGGATGGGTCAATGGACGGATCTGGGTTGTAGTCCAAAATTTGTGGGCCGTCCCGGAACCGGCCCAAAACCCGTAGCGAGCGGGCTTTTTTTCACGCGGACCATTACCGTGCTCATATGTTGGCGGGCTGACCCGACTCGGACCACCCGAATTGACACCTCTACTCCTATACCAATATTGCAAGTTGTATGCACCAGCCTGTTGTTCAAAAAGAACTACTCCTATATTGCATTAGAAGTTTGCTGTTGTGATGCCCGCAATTTGATTGCACTTTGCTCTGTTGTATCAGTTTCAGAATCTTCAGCTGTTTTGGATTAAAAAAAAAAAAAAAGGATTTGTCATAGTTAGCATTGGCTGCACTGTGTGAAGCTACTCTGCTAAGTGGTTTGACACGTAAATGTCCCGCAGCTACTATATAAACAAAAATAAAAGGAAGAATTACTCATATACCAATATTGCAGAATGTATGCGCCAGCATGTTGTTCAAGAAGAACTACTCCGATATTGGGGTTTCAAGATTTGGGGAAGAAAAAGTTGTTAGGTGATAGGAATGAAGGTGGAAATGGACGAGGTATAGGAAATGGTAGTGGCGCCAGCGTTACGTGGGTGCGGTTGAGCCGTCCAGTAGTGATGGTGATATTTTAGAGTGGGGTGGATAGAGAATAAGAAGTTAGTTTTAGTTTTTAATTTTAATTATTTGATTTTAGTTATTTTATTATAAAAAATGTAAAATTATCATTTTAACCTTTTAAAATTAGTCAAAATTATTGTCAATGTCAATTATCTGGTCAATTAACGGTCAAACTAACATAAATAATCTATTTCGACCTCATGCGCTAATATTTTAAAGGTTTGATACCGCGTATAGCACAAATCAAAGGTTTGGATAAAATCTACTACTAAATGAAATATTTAGTATATTTGGTATTGCTACTGCAACTATCCCTTAAAATTTTGGTATAGGTAAAACAAATATGGATATATAACACAACAAATTTGAAATTAGGCCATACCATATATGTTCTTCGGTGCAGAAACATGTCATACTCATTCTTGCAAAAATCCCTTATAGCTATCCGCTAGTTCCAATATAAAAGTTTTATTTTTATCTTCGACCCAACAATGACTCTTAATCGACCCAGTGACCTGCTGATCCGGTGTTTTAGCAGGATCAATGTCCGGGTCAGTTTGAAGCATGGATTAGAAGACTGATGAAAATATCAAATTCCGAGAAATGCAAACGACCTCTCGGTCAAAAATTTTAATGAGTGCAAGCAAATAATCATTCTGCACCCACTAATCTACAATAAATTGTACAAAAAACTATCAAGCAATGTGTATTATGTTGAACATTCCAATCTATATCTAAAATGGGGGCCAAATTTTCAAGAGATTTACACTCGGCATTCTGCATACTTTTATCTCGTTTGCATTTCATTAATGACACGAAAACCTGAATAACTCGTCATTATCTATCACTTCGTTGCTCTTTCGACTCCATCTCCCTCACATTGTCCACGATGGCTTGAATCTTCTTTGAAAGAGATTGATTGTGTTCTTCGATGTGCTCAAATATAATTTCTAATTGCCTTTTATAAGTTGCCGCTTTCTTTTTCTCAATGGCCAGCTGCTGTGTTAGCTCCCGGATTTTATCGTGCTCATTCTGCACAAAAAGAACACAAAAATGAGGTAAGTCATAGTCATCATAGATGGAACATTTCTTTAAACAGAATTATGCACGTCGACCCATTCAATCGATGCAGTGTTCGATAAGAAAATTACATCAAAGATAAGGTAGACGATTCTGAACTGAAAGGAAAACGTAAACACAAGAATTGGCTACATAGAAAATCAAGAACAATGCCTTGGAAGCAAAAAGACTTGGTATTCCAAATAAAACACAACGCATTTATGCTCAGGCATACCGCATAAGTCACATATTACAGGAGAATTATCTATACATATGATATTCAAACAATTTAGTGCTAATTAGACACTCACTACCATAACTGGATCAAATTTACATTTTATTTACACATTTTATAAGACTCCCAACTAACTACCAATTTATTATCCAAACATTCCAGATGACTCACAAGCAACATCAAGCAAGAAAATAATAATAACAAAACAGTTGTATGCATCGCATCAAAGGTTTGGGCTCACACAACACCAAAAGAAACTTCAAGAGCTATAAAATATTCCAGACTTCAATTCTTCCGAGTTATTATTTTTTTCTTTTCAAAATTTTGATGGAACCTTGGGAGAGATGCCTACAGAAATCTACCAAGTGATGCCTAGAGTTTTCATTCTCTCTTCTTCAGACTTTCAACTTAAAACTTTTACCCAATTTTCATTATAGCTTCTTTCATTTAATGCCAAAAAATGTTTCCTTCAACCCACTATTCTCGAACATACAGAAGTTCCAGAAACATATCAAAGCATTCAAGAACAGTCTCACAATTATATTACAAAACTTGACATCATAAAGTTGTGGTATATATACGTTATAGAAAACGTGTAACAATATACCATTGGCATATTATGAGAATTTTTCGACGATCCTGAATCTGAGAGGCTGAATGCAATAGATTCAGAGCTCAAATTTGAAATTTTCACATTTCTAACCATTTTATCAGCATGCAATAGACCTACCTGACAATGAGACCCCAAGTTCCTGAGCCGTAAACATCTAAGCTGAACATGTGAAGTTCTCAAGGTGAAAACATAAGGTGCTTTCATTGACTTCCATGGGAAAGACAACACTGATGAAAAAGAATACCTTTTAATCAATGAGGCAAGCACTAATTGTCTGCCAATTACAACAGCACTAATGTGATGACATAGATGGAATAATAGAAAAAAGTAAAAGGAAACTGCAGCATTTCACTTTTAGAAAATGAAGATTACAAGAAGACTCAATCTTGCAAAAAGCTCACGTGCAGTATTTCTCTCTCTCTCTCTCTCTCTCTGGTATTAGTGTTGGTGTGTTTCTATCAATTAATAAGCACACATATTTATAGAACATGAAACTTGGAGCTAAATCATTTGGGCAGTAGGGGCAGCTTTAATTAGCAGGTAACATTCTTGTTGCCTGCATTTTGTGAGTCAACTGATTATGAGCATGTTTGAGGGGATTATGCTAAAAAAATAATCTCCATTTGTCGTTTATTTTGAATGTAGAAAGGTCCACATTAAAAATAAACCACATTTGTTGATTATTTTTAAGCATAAGCCACCCGATACATGCTCTATGATCCACAAAAGAACATTGTGTGCCATGCTAATGTCTAATTTAACATAAAATATGTTAGGAAACACCTAGAATTTGTTATAATGAGCATTTTAGCTATAATGATTATGATACCAACATCACACAAATATTGAAATTAAGTTCAGTTTTTCCACTTTTTTTTTTAAATTTAAAGTATTTATCTCAATAGAAAAAACTAAGAGCATGTTTCGCAAAACTTAAATTATTTTTTATCCGCACATTTCATGAGACCCATAACTTATTATCCACACATTCCATATGACTAGCATATAAGCACTTGAAAGCACCACGAAACAAGCACTAAAACAGAGAAAAGAAAAAGCTGATCCAACAAGCACCAGGCTGTAGTATAAATTAAATCCACCCTAACCCTGTGGCACTATCACCATATGAGAAAGAAGGAAGATAATTTTAAGAAGTTTATTATTCTCCAATTTTAATCTCTAAATGCACTTCTTCAAATTGGTAGGTTAGAATTTCAAATGTTAGCACGCTAAAATATTGGATAGATAGAATAAATCAGCCAAGCAAAAGAGGAGATGCCGACATTGCACAGAATGAAAAGCATAATTAGGAGTTCCTTGTGTTTCATGCATTGAACTTGAATCATTGGCAATTTCTTTTACTTACTAATTGATTGTAGCATTGTAAAATTCCCATCCATCCAAAGCCACTTCCTCACGAGGAACAGAATTTTCTCTCTGACCTTTTTACCCTAATGATGAATTGAATGCCGATTCCTCAAAAGAATTCAATTAATGTATGGGTTCCCCATTGAATATTTATTGCATGGCATGGACATTGAAATAACCATTTTCTTACAATCAATCCCAGCTTATAAAGAAAATTAAATTGATGTCCATTAAATAGAAAAACAAAGAAGAAAATCATAGACAAAGTTGAAACTACTACATAACCATGAATTAAAAGATGAAATGAAACTACAACTTCAAACTCCAGTAAATTCTAATTTAACTGGTGTATTCTACAATGAAAAAAATAATTATGAGCTTGGACTCAAGTGCCCCATCAAGCGAAGCTCATGTACCAGATGATTCTCAATCCACAACTTGGCAAATAAGACAATCCTATTCTCACACAATTACAATGAAGTAGTTCCAGATTTTAATACCTAGTTGAGCAAGATTCACCCAACATTTTGCTCTCAATCGAATGAATGGGCTTAAAGTCCTCTAGTTATGGTAAAATATCATACAGCATGGGTACTACCATCAAGAAACAACTGCCACCAAGCTACCATATATGGGTTGCAATTCAATTTCTTTCTCATCTACAGTACTATTATAGTTCAGAATTATATACCAAAAAGTGATAAACACAAGTGCTATGAAAAAAACTAATGATGCATGTGTATCCTCATGGACCATGGAATAGTAGAGAGAAGTTAATTTTTGGAGTTAAGTTAATCACTCTTATGCACTGCTGAATACTAAAATATGAAACTCCCTGATTTAAAGTTGCAAGCACACTGCTGGTTAGAACACTGTACTTCATAGCAACCAACAGGCAAGAGGCGTAGGGCATAGAATCCATAATCTATATTGTTTTTTTCCCCCAATCAGGTTCAACCAATATGTGAATACTTTATTCATAACATAATTCAAAGAATGGGTTCCATTTATGAAATTGTAATCCTTGTTAGTCCAATGAGAAATATGAAAAGGATAAATGTGCTATAAACACAGAAAGACAAATATTTCAAAATTCTAGCCAGCAAACGAATGATTACCAAGAAAAAACATCTTATTAAAATAGATTATCAACAAGAAAATAGGAAATATCCTAGAGATATTCGTAATTTTTTTATGAAATACTTGATGAAGAAGCAAAGTAGCTCAAAAAGGAGAATTCAATTTTCCATATTTTCACTGCACAATAATTAATGAAGAGTCAATAGTTGTTTAAATTTCATGTCTTTTTAGTTAGGTAAACATTTGACATTCCCTTTAAAAATTCCTATTAATGAATTATGGGGAACCAAGCAATATCTGTATTTGATGAAGATAAAGTTTTTCTGGGTTGTACACAACTACCAATGATGTATTCTATAACAAATTAAAAGCGTTGTGGGTATTGATTTCTTTTATTCACTTCACATTCATACAGCAACCTAATTGCCCTAGCAAATCAAGCATTTTTCTTGGAGTGGTTGATGTATATTCTCCTCTATTCATCCGCGTTGCTTGATTCCACCTCCCTTAGTTGATTTGTTCCCAAAGCTTAGATTCTAATCCACTGCAATCAGTAGCAGATCCAGGAATTCATCTAAGGTAGGGCGGATTACGAGGTAATGATTTTTTATTAGTAAAAAAAACATGTAGCTACGTTTAGTAAAGAACCACCGAGTGCCAGAAAATGTAAAAAGCAAAAAACAGATAATATTTGAGGGAAAAAAAGTAGAAACAATTGATGTACATGTGCTGGCAGAACTTCACAATTAAGCAAGCAGGTACTTACGGGATATTGATCATAGATAAGATCCTTACGAACTTTGCCGGGATATAGAGGATGAGTATGCTCCTTGACAAATTTTGTGACAATCCATTTCCCAGAGGTTACTTTTCTAACTAAAATCATCGCCCTGCAACCAACTCTTGTTTCGGCCCGTTGCCGTACAATCTTCTCACGCTTGTCAGGCATTCTGAAACCCTCTTTATTGCAAACAAGTGCACGACCAATTGCAGATCCGTCACGCCTCGATCGAGAAAGCTTGCTCACACGGATGATGAACCCCACTCTTGTTGCATATGCATTATAAAATGCATGTGCTTCTGCCTCAGATTCAAACTCCTGGCCAACATAAGGTTCATCTGCAGGACCCAAACTATTTATAGTTTGTGGCCCATCCTGTGGGAATAAGTCTCCTCCAGAAGAATCTTCATTCACTTTAATATCAAGACCATGTTGGAGTGCTCCATCAGCAGAAGTTCCTAAAATTGCATCTCCATCATCTGATCTTGCTACAATATCAATAGAGCTTCCTACTATGCTATCAATCTCAAAATCCACTGTTAAAAACATGGTAAAAATTGCTTAAGCACAGTAAAGATTGACCAAGGAAACTGTAATTGTGCATAAACATTAAGCAGTTCAATTCAGTAAAAGTAGACTAACAAGTGTCTTAACAAAATTTCAACTTTATTACTTCCAATTTAGATCATCGAGACTGGATGCATTTAAAGATTCATTTTACAGTGAAAGAGATGTCAAGCCTAACTAAAAAACAGCTGCAGTATTTCCCCTAAAAATAAAGCATATAGTGGTAGAAAGAGTACCATGCTGCATCTAGACTTCAAACAGTTTTCTTTAACCATCTTAACAGTCCCACATTATTGGTTCTTAGAGCAATAAAAGTAGATTTACCAATTAATCACGACATGCTATGGTTCTGGTTCTGGTTCTGGCATATAATCTCTTAATTTCGCAATATCATGCACCTCTCTTTCAAGGAAAAAGGTCTGGCTGATTGAATCCAGCCTATTCCTGAAATAAATAAACAACTCTCACACACACACACACACACCCTATCCATAATTAAATTCATAAAAAAAACTATTAATACAAGATATAAACTTTCTGAACCAAAAGTACCCTAAGGAATAGGCTAATTTTCAGAGTAATTATCCACATGTTCCAAATAATCATAAATTTAAAACGTATAAAGCTATAATCTATTTAGGCATCATCTAGTTATTCCCCAACGTTGGTACAACAAGAAAACAGAAAAAGAACCCCAATAAGAAAAGAAAAACGAAAAGATAAATACAGACCAGCACACGTTCAATAGCGTCAAGAGAATTTAAAGTCCAGTTGATTCGAAGAATAATTTCTCCAAATCACAAAATGGGTCTCATTCAAGGGTCCCTCATTCTTTATGATCACAAAACCCACAAATTTTATTCAAGAGAATATATCATATATATTAATAAAATACAAAAAAAAAAGCGAAGAAATACAGCTAACAAAATCAAAACTTTTATCCAATTATGGAGGAAATAATCGAAAACCCATATAAGCAAAAGAGGGAACTTACTCCAAAACTGAGCAGCCTCGTACAATACAACTTTTCAGATCCTCCTCAGACGCACACAGGGTGGTGTGAGGGCTCAGCTTGAGGTTAAATTGTGGGCTCAAATCAAAGTGAGATGGTGCGATTTCATCGGTTAGAATACATCAAATGAAGTCAATTTTTTACTGGAACCAATTATATATTGACGCGTAGTTATAAGGTGACGAGATCGTTTGCGGATTATTATTGCCTCAATACGGGTAATGGACGTGAATGGCTTAGGGGTGTGGATTGGGGAGGAAATTACGCTAAATCAGGCATTAAGTTTGGACTTTAAAAAAATCAGATTTTCAAGTTTATTTTTTTTATTTATCAGGTTTTTTTTATTATTTTAATTAACTATTTTTCATTTTTTTAAAGAAAAGTTATTTTCATTTAAAAATCCTAATTCACCATTTCCTCACCCACTCTCGTCTCTCTCTTCGTCGTCTTTCTCTCCATCTTCTCTCCTTGCCGCATGCCTCCTCCTCCTCCTCCTCCCTCTCTCCCATACACCCTTCTCCCCCCGATCGAATTCGCAATGCTGTGGCGCACCGTCGAGGCCCTGCGAACGGCAGCGTCGCTCCCCTCCCCCTGCCGGAGCATCGACGCTGCTGCTGTGATTCACAGCAGCGTCGAACGTTGTGATTCACAGCAGCGTCGAACGCTGCTACACATCAGAGTTCGACTCCTTATTTTTCTTCGGAGCCCCTTTCAGATCTCCAGCTCAACCAATCACTTTCCAATGGAAATCAAGCTAAGCCCAAATCCGATCAGCCCTCATATCCTCCACAGAAGCCTTCTGACCAAAATATGGTGATAATCAAATGGGCACTGCACCCTAATGCTGCTATAACTAGAGAGCAAAAGGTAGTCACCAGCTAATTTACATCGGATCTGGCTATGGTGGTCGGGCGATTTGTGGTGGTTTTGGATTTGGGGTTTTACACTGATTGTAGATCTGTGATTCAGTGGTTGGTGATTGTGAATCTGTGGTTGGTGGTGGAGGTAGTTTTTGGGGTTTTTTTTGTTGGTGGCGGATCTGTTGTTGGTGGAGGATCTGTGTGTGCGTCGGATCTGTTGGTGGAGGTTTAGGCTGATATTGTTGGTGGGTGGATTAGGGTCGGCGGGGGATCGAACGAAGTGTGTGACCAATTATTTGGTCGTTCTGTGACCATGTATTGTTAACTATTTGGTCGTTCCGTGACCTGTGACCAAGTATTGGGAGACGGGTACGGCGGATGGATCGAAGTGTCTGACTATTTATTTGGTCGATCTATGACCTGTGACAAAGTGTGGTGATGTACTGGGATGGGGGAAGGGTGTTTGGGTGACTACGACCTAGCTATTGTGGTTCTTTTCGGTGTCTGTGACCTAGTTATTGTGGTTCTTTTCGGTGTCTGTGACTTTACTCTTGAACTGTGATTTTGAAATTGATAATTTGTAACTTAAAAAAAGAATTTGTGACCTTAATTTTTTTAATCTGTGATCTCGAAATAATCTGTGACTTATAAAATTTTAAATTCGTGATCTCGAAATAATCTGCGATTTACAAAATTTTTGATCTGTGACCTCGAAAAAGTCATCGAATCGGAGCAATCGCCAGAATTAAGTGCTGCCGGAGTAGTCGTCGGTCACCAGAGTAGTCACCGGTCACCGGAATAGTAGCCGGAGCAATGGGGGTGGTGGAGGTGGGGTGGGGTGGGGTGGGGTAATTATATTATATTACAGTTAAATATTTAATTTAATATAATAATTTTGAAATATAATTAATTAATTCATGAAAAACTCGAGTTTTGTAATTTAAAACTTTGGGATCTGATTTTTAATTTCCTGAAAGTAAATCCCTGAACCATAAACTTTTCCCGTAGATTGGGTGGGTTGATTTCTTCGAGAATAATGTTGAGCGGCCCTGTTAGTGAACAAAACCGTTTCGACGATCCATCTGAAATGTACTTTGTTGGATATTTAGCCCTCATTTGAGCTCATGTTTTTGAAAAATAAATTTTTTAACCGTGAATTTTCTTGGAGAATGTGCATTTAAAAATAGGTAAAATTTTTAAATTTATATATAAAATTATTTTATTAGAACAACGAATGATTAAAAATGAGTTCTTAAAAAATGAAAATAGCATAGCTTGCTATCACTTTAAGGAATAATCCCTAAGTATAGGAGATATTTTCACAGGTGGGTTACAACCTATTCACAAATGCAGGCCCCACGTGGATATAAAATGGAAAAAATTTAACCAACCCCTCCCCCCTTTGTGAGTAATATGTGAAAACTACCCACCCCTGTGAAACTTTTACCTGTACTTATAGCAAAACCCTTACTTTAAATATGTGTTATATTTCAAACGTTATTCTTTTATAGATCGAAAACATAACTTGCACTTAACTCCCGTTTGGCCATCATTATATGTCGTTATTTGATGTTATAATTTTTGGAATAATATTTTTTTTAAGTAAGTGTGGTTAAAGAAGAAGAAATTTTTTTAGGTTTACATTAAATATTATTTTATTAGAAAATGTGTGATTAATAAGAAGATAGAGAAAAATGAATTATAATTTTAATGAGGGCCAACGAGGCTTAATTTCTTGAAGAAATATTTACTTTGTGTTTGGCACCCATTTTGGGGAAATAATAGATTTTGGAATAGTGATTGATTGAAAAATGTATGATTAAAAAATAAGGAGAATTTTTAAGTTTATGTGTAATATTATTTTATTGATAGAATGTGTGATTGAAATGTAGAAAGGAAAAAAAATGAGAAATAGAATGGATGTCAAACATAGATACTTCTATCTGATAAATTTATTTTGTATGATTTTTCTATGATTACTGAATAATACAAATTAAAGCATCCCAGAAGCCAGTGAGAATGCTAATCTCAAAACCCTAGTTTCAAATCAACAAAGAAAGCCAATGAGAATGCATTAATCAAATCAACAAAGAAAGGTTAGGGGTGTCCTCAACCAAGATTTCGATGAATTTTAAAAGATTATAAATTATAATGAATCTCGTGAATTTGAATAGATTTTCACGAATTTCGTAAAAATCACATTAAATACGATGAAATTTAATATATATTTTAAACTTGAAATTCATCCAAACATTTTAAAATCCCCTATTAATGACATATTTATAAATTAACTAATTATTGAGGATATCTAATTTTTATAGGATTTCATTAAAATCTCAATTGTGGACATTTAAATTTCAATGGAGTCGACACCGCTGAGGAGGAGGAGGAGGAGGATGGCGGAGTGGACGGATGCCCTCCTCCGCTGCGGGTCTTGGTGGGTCCCAGCCCCGGTTGCATTAGAGAAATTCAACCAAAAAAAAAAAATCACCAAAAGCTGAAATCCGAACCTGTAAACGAAACAATAAAATTTAAACAAAAAGTACGAGAATCATTCAATCCATTCGATAAATTCAAAGCTGGTAAGAAAGTAAGCTAAAAAAATATGGGATTTGGAGGGACTTGACTGCTTGTCCCCAATTTGTCAGCTAATTTTATCACCAAATATTCTTCAATTTCGGAATTTATATTTTTATCTTCCAATTTGGAGACCTTTTAAAATATCTATATTGGGTTATTAGTTCTTACCCAGATATATATATATATATAACTTATTTGAGATTTGTTCGCGATTTCTTTAAAAAAAATTCGGAGTATGATTGCAATTAGTTCTGTATTTGTTTTTTTTTAATAAATATGATGATATATCCCCTCAGGGCCACTGAGGTGAGTACCCGGCCGTAAACTTCAGAGCCGCGTGGAATTAGTCGAGGTGCGCGCAGCTAGGCCAGACATCCACGATTATCAAAAAAATAAATATGAAGATATATTCGTCATTTCACAATTTTTTAAAAAGAAATTGATGGAAATAATGACTTCCTCAACGAAATGTGTAAATAGAGGTGAAAATGGAAAAAAAAAAAAATGCAAGGTGGAGATATTTTGCAAAATAAACTCCAAACGTAGCGACGTTTTGAGCTAATAACTCTTGTAAAAATGAGGCTCAAACATGGATTTCTTAAAATGGATGTCTCAATTAGCAATCGAATCACAGTCAATAATACAACATTTCTAAAAGTATTCATTACAAATAATTTTAAGAACAGGATCTGGAAGTCAGATTTTTTTATTTTTTTGATACCAATTGTTAGGGAAATTCGAATGTTCAAATACTAGTTTGTTGTGAAAAAAAAACAAGTGATTAAGACACAATATGAAGTAATTGATTACAAGAACAAAATAATTTGTAGAGAATGAAGATTTTATTTTAGATGGAGAAATTATACAGAGATTAAGTGTTTTTGATTTTTTTAACTTCATCTAAAATATAATGAAGAGCCAATTATATATATGGAATAAGTAGGTGACGTCCAAACCCTCAATTGTAATTGAATTAAAATGCAAAAAATGGAGTCCAAAGAAGACAAAAACAGCGTAGGGGGCAAAACAGGTGACGTTGCGGCGCCGACTTTGCTATATTATTTACATATGCTAGCACCTAGGATCATTGTCTCCGACCCAAACTCCTTCCAATGATGTTTATCTCTTTCAAAGTTTTTTTCAAGTCTAACACAAATTTTTATTTTCAATGAGCTTTCGAATAGAACTTTAATTTAGAATTCGCGAAGTAAACTTGAATTAAAAAAGAAAATTAAGGAAAATTATTATTATTTTTTAATTTCTAATTTTTTAATAATTTATTTGGGGCTCGTTTGCACCACTTTTTAAAAATAATTTTAATTTCTAATTTTTAAATAATTTGTTTGAGACTCATTTGTACTTTTGAAAAAAAAATTGGGATTTTAGCTTCTTTTTTTTTTTTTAAAAAAAGAAATTTAAATATGAGGATATATTCATCATTTCACATCTCTTTATTGAGAAATTTGATAAAAAAGGATAGAAATGATGATTTGCGCAATCAAATGTGTAATTAAAGGTGAAAATATCAAAAAGATGAAAGGTAACGACATTTTTCGCAATAATAGTGAAATGTAGGAATATTACATGCTAATTTCTTTTTAATAATTTATTTGAGATTCATTTGCCTTTTTTTTTTAAATTGAGACTATAATTGCTATAAATTTTTTCTTTTTCTTTTTGTTTTATTTAAAGAGAATGATATATTCGTCATTTCATAATTTTTAATTGAGAAAAATGGATGAAAATGATATTTTACACAATTAAAGGTGGATATAAAAGTAAAAATATCAAAAAATAAAAGGTAATGACGTTTTCTAGAATAATAGTGAAATGTGTAGACGTTATGTGCCAATTACCCGTATCAAATTAAAAGGAAAGATATATTCTTTTTTCTTCATTAGATTTTTCCTACACGATTTTCCTTAGTAAGAGGCATATTCTTTGTGAAATAAATGTTGATAATATATATGACATCTATCGTCAATATAACTTTTTGATGGAGTCTCCAAAACAACAATATTGTCTCCGTACACCACTTCTGCATTTGCAAGGTAATTTGCACAAGTATTACCGAGCTTTGATGTGTGTGATCTCACTTTTCACTCTTTGAATAACGATAGTCTTCAAGCAACGCTATATTCAGATTTTCCATAATACACAGAATATCTCTATTAGGCTATTTTGGACTCTTTTTTTAACTCAACATAAGAGAATCCATTATCATTGATGAAAATCAAGCTTTGAAATATTGTCCAAAGTTCTGTCGTTAAACTTAACTTGAGATATGAGAATCCATTATCTCTTAGGGTCCGTTTGATTTCAAATATGGAAAATGAGTAGAAAGAAAATGTTTTACAGAGAATTGAATTGCCTAAAAATTGTTTTACTGGAAATTGTAATTAATTGTGTTTGATTGATATAATTTTCCACATGAAAAATGTTGAAAGTTTGGTATCCGTTTGGCTT